TGTCCATCCAGACTCCTTGGCTAGATGTTAATCACACTCCTCCTATAAACCTGCTTCTCAAATGGGTTTTGACTGTGGTTTGTAAAAACTGCAACTGTTAGCACAAATAATCCCCACCTTAGAGACTTGAAAACATTCTAACAGGGCTTGTGGCAGCTGAAGGCCATGTTCCTGAATGATTGACCTCTCCTTAAATTCTTGCCTGGAAAAACTCAGAGCTGTCTTCAAGAAAGTCAGCTCGGTAGTAGTACTCAATTTTTTTTCTCCCAAGAGCATTTATTCAAAACAAAACAAAAAACAAGAAAAACTTGCAAGTGTAAGCATTTCTCTGTCCGTTTGTGATGTGCATCTATGTCCTACTACCCAGAAGTGCCATTCTCCTGGGACCCGAAGCCTTTGCTTTGAACTGTAGCCTCCAGTCTCTGAGGGAGGATAGATCTCAGTTTTGGCAGGTACACAGTTAGCAGACACACAGATGGCTCGGTGGCATTGACATTGAGTAACTCTTTTCCTGCTTTGTGTAATTTCGACTTCTTGACTTTTCTGGAGTTTCTCTTCATTCCCCACTGTTGCCTTCTCCTTTCAAAATGCCTTGTCACCTCTGCACTGTCAGAGCTGAGGTTGGTTCTGTATGGAAGTTTCTACCCTCTACTATTGGATAAGATCTGTCCTTATTACCTGCAGCTAGTGTCCAGTTTTTAAAATACAATTTTAAAGACACAATCCAAGAAATAATGTGGAATGTCTCTATGTGCCAGGCACTGTTTTAGGAGCTGGATAAACCATAGACAAAAACTATACCTCTGGGGAACTTACAGTGTAAGTAGGAGGAGTCAGAAAAACTTAAAATATTTGTCAGGAAGAGATGGTACTATAGAGGAAAAAAAAAAAAACCAAAAACCAAATCAGAGATGGGGAGAAAAAGACTGCTTTAGACTACCACTTATTTTTTTTAAAGAATATTTCTAATAAGGTATGCTAATGGGAAAGTACAAAAGATTGTCAAATTATATTACTTTTTTGTTGTTTTACTTTTTAAAGAGAATAAAAATAAACAATTAGAAATGATACATAATTTCACTAAACAAGATGATAGGAATTCAACAACGGTTGTTATATTGCATATTGTTGTCTTCAAAGTAGTTTTTCATGTTACCAGGTGTAAACATGCAAAACAGATAGAAATAAAAATAAAAGTAACCTAAGCACTAACTGTTCCCATTCAATAGACCAGTAGAAATCAGCGGTGCAATTATCCAAGCTATTCCTGCCTCAGCCTCCCCAGCCCTGAAATTACAGGCATGCACCACCCTGCCCAGTTTCATGCCGGCACAGGATGCCCTGGGTTCCAGGGCTGGCACAGCATGCAGTACCGGGGATTGAACCCTGGTCCTTGTGCTTGCCAGGCAGGCACTTAGACCACTGATCTATCTCCCCAGCCCCATATACATATTTTTCTTAGTATAACTTTTTGAGTGGC